TGGCGCTATGCGAGCAGGTGGGATATATGCACGAGAGCGAACGCATCGACCGCTACATCGGCGGCCTGAAGCAGGACATCGCTCAGGGAATCCAGCTTCGCGGCGTCACCGACTTTCAAGAAATTCTCGCTATGGCGGAGAAACTCGACTTCTTCCGCCGACCGAGACCGGGGTCCTACGAAAGCAGCCATTGGGGACATCGGCCTCGTGGGACGAACGAGGGCGCCACGATACGTGCCGTCGCCGCAAATGCCGCTGCCGCACCGTTCAAAGGGCGCTGCTTTGCGTGCAATCGGCCGGGACATCGCAAGAGCGAATGCCCGGAAAACGCTAAGGGAAAGGGGGAAGCTGAGCAGCAGAAACAGACCAAGCAGCAGGGAAACGCTGGGAGTCAGTAGCAGACGGGCCCTCTACTGACAGGTCACGCCGCTCGCCCGACCCAACCGACCCTCACCGAGTGATTGTGCCGGTTCACGCAATCGACCACACCCGGCCGAATAAGGAGGGTACCACGGTAGACAACCCCATACTGCTTAGTGGGAAAATCGAGACGGACTTAGTAAAAATCTTCGTCGACGGGGGAGCCAGCCACAGCCTCATCAACACTGCTACAGCACGAAAACTGCGACTGCCACTGGACAGATGTTTACCTGAGATCGACGCACGACTGGTAGACGGCACGCCGCTGGCAATACGGGAACGCGTAGACCGGGTTCGGATTCGATGTGGGGGTAACTTCACATTTAGCCAGGAAATGCTCGCAACGACCCTCGACGGAACCGATATTTTAGTCGGGCGTGATTGGCTGCAACGACACAATCCGCGAATCGACTGGACGACGGGTGACTTCACCGTGCGAGTGAACGGTAACAACATCGCCTTACCCCGCTGGGGCTCGCCTGAGTCTTCGTCGGTGCGTGTCAATGCGATCACGATGAAACGCGCCGTAGCGGCAGGAGCTGACGTGTACGCGGTCGACATTCGGGAAGCCGAGGCAGCAGACAAAGGAGGGGATTTACAGAAACTGCTGGCCGACGTACCGAATGATCTGGCAGCACTGTTGAAGCAGTACAGCGACATCTTCCCGGACGATTTACCGACGGGACTGCCACCTCAGCGACCGCACGACCACAGGATAGAGTTAGAACCAGGGGCACAACCAACAGTACAGCGACACTTCCGACTGACCCAACCCGAACTGGACGAACTGAGGAAGCAGCTCGATTACCTGCTCGAGAAGGAATTCATTCGCCCTAGCTCGTTGCCCTTCGCCGCACCGATACTATTCACACCGAAAAAAGACGGGGGATTTCGCATGTGCATAGATTACAGAGCACTGAACAGGGTTACCATCAAATCCCGTTATCCCATCCCGCGAGCTGACGAACTGATCGACCAACTGCGCACAGCCCGGGTTTTCTCGAAAATCGACCTCCGAGGGGGTTACCACCAGATTCGCGTCAATCCGCCCGACTGCCCTAAGACCGCATTTCGAACACGCTACGGATCCTTCGAATACACCGTCATGCCTTTCGGACTGACCAACGCCCCCGCCACTTTTCAAATGACCATGAACGAAGCTTTCCGCCCACTCTTAGATAAGTGTGTCATCGTATACCTGGATGACATACTGATCTACAGCCCTGACAGAGCACAGCACTTATAGGACATCGAAACAGTTTTTAAAATACTGAGTGAGAACCGCCTACTGACGAAAGCGTCTAAGTGTGAGTTTTTACAGGACCGCCTAGAATTTTTGGGACACGTTATTTCAGCTGCAGGCGTGGAAATAGACCCGAAGAAAATTGCGACGATTCAAGCATGGCACGCGCCGACCAACTTGACCGAGTTGCAGAGTTTTTTGGGGTTCGTCAACTACGTGCGCCGGTTCGTCCCCGACATGGCGAAGCTGAATGCCCCGCTGACAGACCTGCTGAGGAAGGGGGTTGAGTACACGTGGGGGGAGAAAGAGCAAGCTGCCTTCTCGGCCCTCAAAAACATTTTGTGCTCACCGCCCGTGTTTCACATCGCAGATCCACACCGTCCGTTCGAGCTCGTCACCGACGCAAGTGACATCGCTGTGGGAGCACTATTGTTGCAGGATTTCGGGAACGGCCTCCAGCCAATCGCGTACGAGTCCCGCAAGCTGCACCCGCCCGAACGCAACTACCCGATACACGACCGCGAAATGCTGGCGATCGTGCACGCGTTCAAGGTTTGGCGGTGTTACCTGACTGGCGCCGACGTGAAAGTACGGACAGACCACCGATCACTACAGTACCTACGCGCCCAACCAAATCTCAATCCGCGACAGATTCGCTGGTTGGACTACCTCGAGTCCAACTTCCACTACACGGTTACGTACAAGAAAGGCGCCTCCAACATCGCCGACGCACTCACCCGCCTGACCGCCCAACTCCATGCCATCCTACTCGCCCAAACCAACCCGCTTTTAACAGGCCTATTCACCCACGGATACCGCACCGACCCATTTTTCACGACGGGAAACTCACAGCAACTAGCAGAAGCTAAAGGAGTTTATTACGTAAAAACAGGCACCAACCGCATCTGGGTACCCGCGTACTCACTACTGAGGGAGCTGCTACTGCAGGAGGCACACGACGGAATTACCTCGGGACATTTTGGGGTAGAAAAAACGCGACAGCAACTGCAGCGGTATTACTACTGGCCGGAGCTGTTGACCGACGTACAGCAGCACGTGGGCTCGTGCCCCACGTGTCAGGTGATGAAGAGCTCGAGGAAGCGGAAGGCGGGTCAATTACAGCCGATACCACCGCCCGAGCGCGCCTGGCAGCAGGTTACCATGGACTTCGTCACAGGGTTACCTTCGAACCCTGGGGGTAACGACGCGGTGATGGTCGTCGTTGACAGGTTGACGAAGATGGCACACTTCGCTGCGTGCAAAAAGTCGATCTCAGCCGAGGAGACCGCTCGTCTGTTCATTGCAGCCGTTGTTCGCCTGCACGGGATACCAGCAGCGATTATCAGCGACAGGGACATGAAGTTTACCAGCAACTTCTGGAAAAATCTCTGGGAGCAGTTCGGGACCAGGCTACAGTTCAGTTCGTCGTACCACCCCGAGACCGACGGTCAAACGGAGCGGACGAATCATACGATGGAGCAGTTGATTTGCGCCACGTGCGACGACCCCACGACTTGGGAGCAGCAGCTGCCGCTGATCGAGTTCGCGTACAACAACGCCACGTCAGCGACTACGCAACAGTCCCCCTTCTACCTGAACTACGGGCAAAACCCTACAGTGCCCATGACGCCGAGTCCGGACAACCCAACACCACGTGCACAGCAATTCGCCGAAATTCTGCAAGCTGCCCGCACCAGAGCCGCAGAAGCAATTAAAAAAGCAAACGTCATCGCTAAGCGCAACGCTGACCGCCACCGCCGCCCAGTCACATACCAGTCAGGGGATTACGTACTGCTCGACACGCAAAATCTGCGACTGCCCGACGTACCGAAACTTCGACCGCGCTACTGTGGCCCATTCCAAATCAGCCACATGAGCACACCAGTAACCGCGCACCTACTGTTACCGACCGACTGGTACATCAGCCCTTCATTCCACGTCAGCTTGCTTCGCCCATACATCGCAACCACAAGCCAACTGCCTCGCCACCGCCCGCCATCCATGACTCGCCCTGCATCGGAGCCGATCATCGAGCCCGAAAAAATCCTGAGCCATCGGATTCGACACCCCACGGGAATCAGGAGGATTGAATTCCTCGTTCGCTGGAAGGACCGCACGCCAACTGAAGATAGCTGGGTGCCCCTGGCCAACATTGACAACCACCCTGCCCTGCAAGTGTACCTGAGGAGCCGGGGATTCCGCGATATACACGCACTCGCGTAGCGGAGGGGGCTTCTTGAGGGGGGGGGGGTAGTGTAAGGAATTTTCTCGGCATTCCTTACGGAGCCCGACTACATCGCGTACAGCAAGAGCCGTTGTTCGCCCGTTACTGCTAACGGGACTTCGCCAACTTCGCGCGCACTGTTTTGCCAAACCTCGCACTGCTGGCCCGGCCGTGTCGGCCTACGCTTCGGGACTAGCCCGAGCCTCGCTGCCAGCATAGCACTAGCTAGCTCGCACGCACCGCGTTACCGTTTGCATGTTTCGCGTATAAATGTTCGCTCATGTCTTCGCTCACATCTTTGTACTCGTTTGACACCTTAGTGCAATTCTCGCTACCTCGATTCATTGCACCCGTAACAGAATGGCAGGAGCAATGTTGTGGGACCAATTTTCTGTTGTTTGGTGAAACAAGAGGAGATAGTCTTTTGGAGGTGTTAGCCGTTTTTCACCGCTTTGCATCGATATTCGCCTTTCTGAATTTAGATGACTACCATATACGGTGAGATCGTAGCAGAGGCTTTCAGTTACTTTCCCGACCGCTCGGCATCGATACTCACCTTTCTAAAAACCCGGAGGGTCTCGTGTCAAGCAAATGAGCTTGTGTGACACACCTCAACCTCAGATCGCAGAAAAGGCTTCCAATTTCCCTTCACAGATTCGTGACTTAAAGCCGGAAGCCCAAATTGCACAAGTTTTAAAAGGATGACGCGAGGGGTTTTTCCTGGTTTGGGTTTTGGCGAGTGATTCTGATTTCGGGCATTTCGTTTTTTTCGCCAAACCCAGCCAGCCCACGTATTTCGCCCTGGGGGTTGTGTCAGCACCCGAAAGTCCCAAATTGCAGGTGCGCTACTTTTCAAAGCTTGCACACTGCACTTCTTCAAGTTTTAAAAGCATGACCCACGCGCCTCGCAATTTGGGACTCGGGCTTTAACCGAGTCAGACCTTCGATCTGTGCTGATCTTAGTCTAACAGCCCACCACAGCGCAAGTTCTGCTCGACCCGTGCACTCTTCCGTTCGTTTTCATCATCTCTCGACCTGTTTCCGTAGCATCCGGGCTCCGATCGACGTTCCGCAGATTCGCAGCTCAGAAACCCACGATTCAAACCGCTTAGCATGGCGGCAGCTCAGGTAGTCCCCGTCCCCGCGATGGCAGGCGGAGGAGGAGGAGGAGGAGGAAGAGGAGCGAAAGGCGAGACGTTTTCGGACACGAGCAGGAAGGACGATATCCGTCAGGCGAACATCATGGCTGCTAAAGCCGTGGCGGATGCTGTGCGAACAAGCCTGGGGCCCCGGGGGATGGATAAGATGCTCACGACGGCCACCGGCGAGGTCATTATTACCAACGACGGCGCGACGATTCTCAACAAGGTGCGACGATTCGCAACAAGGTGCGACGATTTTCAGGAAGGTGCGACGATTTTCAGGAAGATGCGACTGCGAAAGTGTGATTTTCCCGCGAGATTTAGTCACGGCATGGATGATGGAACGTCCAGCAGGAACTGCAATATCCAGTAGTAATGGATGCAATAGCGGATCTGTAAGGGACTGATCAGTTGTTGTGGAGATTCAGGGCTCCTGGCAACCTCAGAGTTCGTGAAATTGGAAGAGGAGGTAGAAATTTACAGTGAATCCGGCCTTCTGCTGCTGGTGCTGCTGCTGGTGCTGCTGCTGCTGCTGCTGCTGCTGCTGCGCTGTGTGCATTTTAAGGTGGGAGTCCTCGTTGAAACCCAAGGCTGACACAGATCCACGTCACCGCATCCCGTTAATGTGCTTTTCGGCGTCCGCGGTTTCAGATGAGGTCTTGATTCGCAATTTGAAGTATTTCTCCCCAGCATTCAGAGTTTCTCCAGCCTTCGACGCCTCGATCCTGCTTTACTACTTCTCTTCTTCCGCCATTTGGACCGAGAGGCCAGAGCTGTTTAGACCAGAACCGTTTGTTTTGGCTGCGATTCGTCCATCCCGCTGTTTCTGAAATCAGGCCTTTTTCCCCCCCTGTTTCTCTACCGACACGATTTTCGTGTACTTGTGACACGATTCCTTGTAAGAAGCTACTGAAGTCCGTTCAACAACGTCACCATGCTATCGATTTGCCCTGTAACGCGTATCCCGGTTCAGATGGAGGTGACACAGCCAGCGGCGAAGATGCTGGTGGAGCTGTCCAAGTCGCAGGACATTGTCGCCGGCGACGGCACCACCACAGGTCCGTCGCAGGATCTGAGATCCGGAATTTGGATTTCGCGGTTCAGGATTCGGGATCTGGAATTCGGGATTTGGTATTCTGTATTCGGGAATTCGGGCTCGGTTTACGAGCTTTGGAATTTGGGATCCGGGTTCGTGGAACAAGCAGTGGTTTCTCTGTATGGGGGTTCAGGGTTATGGGTGTTGGGGACGTTTAAGATTCGGAGTTGTTGCATCCAGCGCCATGTTTGAGTGCCCAGCGAGGAAGCTCTGATTCTTGTCGCGGATTCCTTTCTTTGTTCAGGTGTGTGTACATGCGTGTGTATGTGTCAACTCCACCAATTTTTTCTTCCTGTACCCTTTTTTTGTAAAGTTTCTTTGTTTTCTGCCTCAAAAGCTCGGCAATTAGCTTTCTGCGCACTATGTGTCTCCGTTCCCCCTCCCCCCCTTCCCCCCTTCCGCCTCCCCTTCCTCCCCGCGGTGCAGTGGTGGTGGTGGCGGGTGCGCTGCTGAAGGAGTGCCTGTCGCTGCTGGGAAAGGGCATCCACCCTACAATCATCTCCGAGGCTCTGCACAAGGCTGCTAACAAGGCCGCCGAGGTACGAAGGAGGTGTATCCTGAGCTGGTTTGAATGCGGGACAAATGCGGGACAAGGGTGTTTATGCTGGGAAGTAGTATCCACCCGGCAACTATCTCTGAGGCTCTGCACAAGGCCGCTAACAAGGCCGCCGAGGTACGGTGAATGAGGGTTAAGCATGAAAAGAGACTTGAAAGATGTCATGGGTAGGAAGCTTCTGGCTCGGCTATTGCGTGTGGTGTTGTGCCTTCTTCTCCTTACACTGAACACCACTCTGTTTCCCCCTCCGAGGCTTTTTGCAATCCCTCGCCGCTCTCCCATCCCCCTCCGCCCATGTACACCCCCTCCTCCTCCTCCATGCGCCATTTCTTAATATTTCTCTCCCTGGCATATCCTCCCTGCCTATGAAGCTATCAGACGGTTTTTAAGAATTCTCAAAAACCCTCAGTGCCTATGAAGCTGTCAGACTCAAATTTATTAAATAATTTACTTTCCTTCATGTTCCTAGTCCCCTCCATCCCGCATGCAACAATCCCCCCGCTCCCCTCCCCTCTACCCACCCTTGCTTGCCCCCCCGTTCTCCCCCTTCCTCTGCCCTTCATCAACCCCCCCAACTTCCCCTCGAGCACAGATTCGCACCACCATGGCAGTGCCAATGGAGCCGTGAAACGGCAACTCCCCTCCTTATCTGTGCCCGCGTGGAACTCCCGCCCCCCCCTTCTTCCTCCCCCCTTCCCCCCCCCCCCCAACCTTTTCCTGCAGATCCTCACCACCATGGCGGTGCCAGTGGACCTGTCAGACTGGGCGTCCCCTCGTTACCGCGTGATTGAACAAGGGTTTTGAGACGTCTCAAAACTCGTCCCCTCGTTACCACGTGATTGAACAAGGGTTTTGAGACATCTCAAAACTCGTCCCCTCGCTACCGTGTGATTGAAGAAGGGTTTTGAGACGTCCCAAAACTCGTCCCCTCGTTACCGCGTGATTGAACAAGGGTTTTGAGACGTCTCAAAACTCGTCCCCTCGTTACCGCGTGATTGAAGAAGGGTTTTGAGACGTCTCAAAACTCGTCCCCTCGTTACCGCGTGATTGAAGAAGGGTTTTGAGACGTCTCAAAACTCGTCCCCTCGTTACCGCGTGATTGAAGAAGGGTTTTGAGACGTCTCAAAACTCGTCCCCTCGTTACCGCATGATTGAAGAAGGGTTTTGAGACGTCTCAAAACTCGTCCCCTCGTTACCGCGTGATTGAAGAAGGGTTTTGAGACGTCTCAAAACTCGTCCCCTCGTTACCGCATGATTGAAGAAGGGTTTTGAGACGTCTCAAAACTCGTCCCCTCGTTACCGCGTGATTGAAGAAGGGTTTTGAGACGTCTCAAAACTCGTCCCCTCGTTACCGCGTGATTGAAGAAGGGTTTTGAGACGTCTCAAAACTCGTCCCCTCGTTACCGCGTGATTGAAGAAGGGTTTTAAGACGTCTCAAAACTCGTCCCCTCGTTACCGCGTGATTGAAGAAGGGTTTTGAGACGTCTCAAAACTCGTCCCCTCGTTACCGCGTGATTGAAGAAGGGTTTTGAGACGTCTCAAAACTCGTCCCCTCGTTACCGCGTAATTGAAGAAGGGTTTTGAGACGTCTCAAAACTCGTCCCCTCGTTACCGCGTAATTGAAGAAGTGTTTTGAGACGTCTCAAAACTCGCCCCCTCGTTACCACGTGATTGAAGAAGGGTTTTGAGACGTCTCAAAACTCGTCCCCTCGTTACCGCGTGATTGAAGAAGGGTTTTGAGACGTCTCAAAACTCGTCCCCTCGTTACCGCGTGATTGAAGAAGGGTTTTGAGACGTCTCAAAACTCGTCTTGAAGAAGGGTTTTGAGACGCCTCAAAACTCGTCCCCTCGTTACCGCGTAATTGAAGAAGGGTTTTGAGACGTCTCAAAACTCGTCCCCTCGTTACCGCGTGATTGAAGAAGGGTTTTGAGACGTCTCAAAACTCGTCTTGAAGAAGGGTTTTGAGACGCCTCAAAACTCGTCCCCTCGTTACCGCGTAATTGAAGAAGGGTTTTGAGACGTCTCAAAACTCGTCCCCTCGTTACCGCGTGATTGAAGAAGGGTTTTGAGACGTCTCAAAACTCGTCCCCTCGTTACCGCATGATTGAAGAAGGGTTTTGAGACGTCTCAAAACTCGTCCCCTCGTTACCGCGTGATTGAAGAAGGGTTTTGAGACGTCTCAAAACTCGTCCCCTCGTTACCGCGTGATTGAAGAAGGGTTTTGAGACGTCTCAAAACTCGTCCCCTCGTTACCGCGTGATTGAAGAAGGGTTTTAAGACGTCTCAAAACTCGTCCCCTCGTTACCGCGTGATTGAAGAAGGGTTTTGAGACGTCTCAAAACTCGTCCCCTCGTTACCGCGTGATTGAAGAAGGGTTTTGAGACGTCTCAAAACTCGTCCCCTCGTTACCGCGTAATTGAAGAAGGGTTTTGAGACGTCTCAAAACTCGTCCCCTCGTTACCGCGTAATTGAAGAAGTGTTTTGAGACGTCTCAAAACTCGTCCCCTCGTTACCGCGTGATTGAAGAAGGGTTTTGAGACGTCTCAAAACTCGTCCCCTCGTTACCGCGTGATTGAAGAAGGGTTTTGAGACGTCTCAAAACTCGTCCCCTCGTTACCGCGTGATTGAAGAAGGGTTTTGAGACGTCTCAAAACTCGTCTTGAAGAAGGGTTTTGAGACGCCTCAAAACTCGTCCCCTCGTTACCGCGTAATTGAAGAAGGGTTTTGAGACGTCTCAAAACTCGTCCCCTCGTTACCGCGTGATTGAAGAAGGGTTTTGAGACGTCTCAAAACTCGTCCCCTCGTTACCGCTCCCTCGCACCCTTAAACGCAACTCACTCTGGCCCTCCTTCTCCCTTCCCCTCTCCCCCCCTCCCCCCCCCACCCGTTCTGCAGATCCTCACCACCATGGCGGTTCCAGTGGAGCTGTCGGACCGCGAGTCGCTCGTCAAGAGCGCCAGCACCTCGCTCAACAGCAAGGTACAGTGTGGTGCAATGCGGTGCAGTGCAGTGCTGTGCAGTGTGGTGCAATTATGCAGTGCAGATGGCTTGGCTGCGGTCACATTTCAGCCAGGAGAGTTCCCGCCTCACCATTTTGCCATCTTGTTTCCAAGGAGCGGTTTTATGTCTCACCAAGGAGGGTACTGGCTGCCCTTGTTTCAGATATGAGAACTCTCAAAAGGTTCAGGCGTTTCTTCCTTGGCAGAAGCGTCTCTTTCGGACTTCGTCCTCACACCATTCTCTCGTGTGTCCCTTAAGAAAACGCTTCCTGCTCCACTCTTTGTGTGGAGAAGATGAAAGCGCTCTCTCACCTCGCCTCGTTGTCCCGTGTTATCCACCTGGCGCATGCCCGCGTGCCCGACTGCCCTTCCTGTGCGCAGGTGGTCAGCCAGTACTCTTCTCTGCTTGCCCCGCTAGCAGTTGACTGTGTTCTGCAGGTGAGAGCGGAAGGGTCCCTGATTAAGGCGCCGTTTTGCCATGCTTACATCGTTCTGACGCTTTTAGCAACGCACATACCCTCACCAAACACCTCATCGCATGCCCTTATTACAGTGTGTTGCTTTCAAAAGTATTCGCCCGTACCTGTTAAACGAGCTGTTTTCCTAGTCAAACTACATTTACCTAACCCTACTCGAGCCCCTCTCGCTACCTGTTCTCTGCTGACGTGGCAGGTGATGGACCCCAGCCGCCCAGATGTGGTCGATCTTCGGGACATCAAAGTGCTCAAGAAGCTGGGCGGCACGGTGAGTGCTGGGCGGCGCAGTGAGTGCTGGGCGGCACACTGTGTGTTGGTGGCACAATTTCGCGAATTGCGGGTTTCATTTCTTTCTCTTGTGCGAGTAGCACCTGCCAAATGGTGCTGGGCGCGAGGGATTAGTACCAACACATGGTATCAACCACGAGTAATCATACCCTGCGCCGTCTCCATGCTTATTCCTGTCTTCCCTTCTGCGCTTTCTCCCCTTCCCATCCACTTGCCTTTTAGGTGGACGACACGGAGATGGTGCGTGGGCTGGTGTTTGACCGCAAGGCGAGCTGCTCCCACCTTGATTAACCCCCGCTCTCATTCCGCTTCCCACCAACCCACACCCCACATATTCCCCCACCCACAGGTGGACGACACGGAGATGGTGTGCGGGCTGGTGTTTGACCGCAAGGCGAGCTGCTCCCGCCTTGATTAACCCCCGCTCTCATTCCGCTTTCCACCAACCCACACCCCACATATTCCCCCACTTGGCAGGTGGACAACACGGAGATGGTGCGCGGGCTGGTGTTTTACTGCAAGGCGAGCCACACCACCTCTTCTACTTGATTCTTATTCTGCCCCCCTCCTCCACTCCCCCCACTCACAGGTGGATGACACGGAGATGGTGCGCGGGCTGGTGTTTTACTGCAAGGCGAGCCACACCACCTCTTCTACTTGATTCTTATTCTGCCCCCCTCCTCCACTCCCCCCACTCACAGGTGGATGACACGGAGATGGTGCGCGGGCTGGTGTTTGACCGCAAGGCGAGCCACGCAGCAGGCGGGCCGTCAAGAGTGGAGAAGGCGAAGATTGGGCTGATTCAGTTCCAGATCTCGCCGCCCAAAACCGACATGGAGCAGTCCGTGATCGTCTCCGACTACACCCAGGTGAGCTGCCGCCCAGAGCTGCCGCCCAGTTGAGCTGCTGCCCGGTTGAATTGCCGCCCGGTTGCCGGCCAGGTCGGGTGGGACACGAGGCAAGTGATCGAGTGTAGTTCGAGTGAACACAGGTGAAAGACGAGAATCTCTCAACGCATTGCTCGTGCAAGATTCAGCTTCGCCCGGTGCTGCCTGTGCTCCCTCCTTGCGCCCCATCTGCTGTTGGTTTCCCCTCCTCTCTCTATCACTGGAATCAGATGGACCGTATCCTCAAGGAGGAGCGCAACTACATTCTCAACATCATCAAGAAGATCCGCGCCACGGGGTGCAACGTTCTCCTCATTCAGAAGTCCATCCTGCGCGACGCCGTGACAGACCTGTCGCTGCACTACCTGGCCAAGGCCAAGATCCTGGTCGTGAAGGACGTGGAGCGGGACGACATTGAGTTCATCAGCCGCACGCTCAACTGCCTGCCCATTGCAAATCCGGAGCACTTCCGCGCGGAGAAACTCGGGCAGGCGGATCTGGTGGAGGAGGTTCCTGTGGGGGAGGGCCGGGTGAGTAGCTGTGGGGAGTGGGCCAGCTGTGGTGGGTGAGTATCTTTTGGGGATGAATTGTGCTTGAGCTGTAAGGGTTTTTTAAATCCTTTCGTCCCCCCTTCCCCTGCCTCTCCCGCTCCTCCTCATACCACAACAGGTGGTGAAAATCACGGGCATCAAGGACATGGGGCGGACCATGAGCGTGGTCGTGCGAGGGTCCAACAGCCTGGTGCTGGAGGAGGCGGAGCGCAGCCTGCATGACGCGCTCTGTGTCGTGCGCTGCCTCGTCAACAAGCGCTTCCTCATTGCTGGCGGAGGGGCGCCGGAGATAGAGGTCAGCCGGCAGCTGGCGGCGTGGAGCAAGCAGCTGGAGGGCAAGGAGAGCTACTGCGCGAGGGCGTTCGCACAGGCCCTGGAGGTATGTTGACTGCGAATTCTAGTTGCAAACTGTTGACTCCCAGCCGTTGATTGCTTGACTGTTGACTGCTAGCCATTGATTGCTTGACTGTTGACTGCTAGCCGATGATTGCTTGACTGTTGACTGCTGACTGTTGAATTCTAGCCGTTGACTGCTGACTGTTGACTGCTACCCGTTGACTGCTGACTGTTGACACGTTGAGGGGAGTGGGTGGAAATGGAGAGGTCAATATGTGAACTTCAACCCCTTCCCCCCCTTCCCTCCCGCCTGCCACACTTATGCTCTGCTCTTCTCTTCTTTCGGCAGGTGGTGCCGTACACGCTGGCGGAGAATGCAGGGCTGAACCCCATCTCCATCGTCACTGAGCTGCGCAACAAGCATGCCGAGGGGGAGGTGAGCTCTCAGCAACCAGCCCATGGTGTGGGGGAAGGGGGGAGAGCAGGAAACAGACGCTATGTAGGAAATCTGGGGGAAAAAAAAAAAAAAATCAACCCCATTACACACACACATACACACACACACACACGCACACACACACACACATGCATGCACAAAAACACAAAAAAACTCAACCCCATTTTCACTGTCACTGACCTGCGCCGCAAACACGCCGAGGGGGAGGTGAGTGCTTGGCAAAGTTTATTGGTTAACTTGAAAATGGGGAGCAAACATGGTGAGGCAGAGGTGAGCTTCGAGTACCCAGCAAGACGGGGGCAGGGGGAGGGAGTGACGAGAGAGGGGAGTGGGGGGGGAGCGATTTGTGCAGAACTGCTCATGTGGTACGGACCGGTTGATTGTGATTTTTTTCGATTGAGCGCATGGGTTTCTGCGTTATTATCGGTGTGTGCTGCCGTTCCCTTATCAGTTGAAGTACATAAAAGGCTACTCTTGTATCCACAGGTGTTAACCCTCCCTCCCTCCCTAAGAAAATGCCCTGCTGAAAAGAACACGTAGTGGGTTAATGATGAACAACTTCCTGTTCTGAACCCTGAACATCTCTCTGCCGATCCCTGGAATCATGTAACCATGTTACAGGTTAGTGCGGGCATCAATGTGCGCAAGGGTGCGATCAGCAACATGTTTGAGGAGAATGTGGTGCAGCCGCTGCTCGTGAGCACAAGCGCCATTTCCCTCGCTGCAGAGTGCGTTAGGATGATTCTCAAAATCGACGATATTGTCATCACTAGATAGTCCTAGACTGGTGATGCTGCTGATATGCGAATAATTGAATAATATACTGATCTCCAAGATTTTGTTGCAATTGCTAGTTTACTAGGTAGCTGCTGACAGTTGCGGATCAATCATTCTTGTAGTGGTAACTTTAGAAGCGAAGTTAACGTGGATGTATTTATAAAAGCCTAGAGTGGTGTACCGGTATGTTTCACTTCGACGTGATGAGTGGGTGTTCAGCGCGTACATTTAGACTTGGCTCAGGCCCACGTGCCAACCAGTGGGGTTCATATTCCTCCGCTAACTTCGCTATATATCATTGGTCGCCTCCTCAGGCCGAAGGAGATCTAAGAAACAAATTTGCCTTGTTGTTGGGCATTCCCTAAACGCCAATTGTTCCCTGTCGACTAGCAACAGTTTGCCAGCCCGTGAAAGATTGAGCTGGCCTGCACAACGCCCCTGGAGCCACCACAAGTCGCTGCTGCCATCAAAATTGCCAGTTGATCGCAGTTGGATCGACCAAAGTCGAGGGAGGTCAATTGCGAGAGTATCCGAGGTGTGGTCTTCTAGACGATTTGTTACTACGGAACGTCTTTTTTCGCCGAGACTTCCAGGCCCAGCCAGCCGACTGTCGTGCAAAAACCCGAGGACCGAGAAAAAATCCATAAGATCAGCGAGAACTAGGCACTTCAAAAGGGGCAAGAGGTCTTCGCAAAACATATTCGTGACTTCGCAAAACGGGATCTTTCAATTTCGTCAGTCCGTTCCCTTCCCTTCACCTAGACTCCCGTCACCTGTCCCAGTATTCCAGCAATAGAATAGAAGCCCATTCCAGCTTTCAGTGGCAATCCATTCCAACTTGCTGTAAACAGTGGTGCGTGCTATTCGCCATATACAACCTTGATAGCTTCAGGAGTTGATCTGACACGTCCTTCCTAGGTTCCTCCTCAGTTCCCGGGTTCCTCGATTCTTGGGCTTCTCAACTAGCTGTTGGTCAGAAGTTTGAAACGTTTCGCTCAGGCTTTCCCTAGAAGCGTTTCCTTACGATGGCGCTGCCGTGCAACAGCTGTATGATTAGGGTTGTTTGGCTGTAGACGAGCAATTTGAGGTGGTTTTACTTATTTAATTTATTTATAACTCCTAGGTTTTGACGACAGTACAACAATGGCGACAAACCCTAGGCAGGTTCCGAGCGCCGTGCTAGCGCAGAGGCCCATGTACCTGCTGCGACAGGTGCTTAAGGACTTGTGCCTGCAGAATGGATGGACGTACTCCGTCTTCTGGAGACTGAAGCGTCGCGCGGTTCCGCGAACGTCGCAAACGTAACCCCTGCAGACTCCAGATTTTCTATACGTTGTTTCAAGTCGTGTTTGACGGATTGGGATCGCGAAGAGTCGAGCACTCGCCTGCGCGTTCAATGCAGAAAACCGAAGCTTATCGAAGCTTAGTTTTCCATTTCCTTTCTCGCATCGCGTCCTTAGTAGCATCGCGTCCGTAGTCGCATCCCGTCCTTAGTCGCAGCGCGTCCGTCGTCGCGAAGCCTGATTCACTCGTTCGTTTCGCTGGCTTCTGTTCTGCGTTTTGATCGTTCTCGCAGAAATGTACCGATAAGGGGAAACCGAATGATGAAACGCGAGGACGACGATAACTGGTAAGCTCCCCTCCACCTCTTCCTCCTCTTCTTCCTCTTCCTCCACTTCTGAATTGCCAGCTGAACGACCATTGGGGCCCTCAATGACTGAAACCGAAGCCCTAACTGTGCCATTACTACCTTTGAGGCGCTTGGAAGGCCGAAACCCGGCTCGTCATGTCTCTCCGCATTTCCACACATCCCTAGTTACATCTCGGTTCGTCTCGTTTCATCTTGCTGGCGCGCGAAGTTGCTCGGACAGGATCATTCGTGTCGATTTAAGACTCAGTTGGAGGTTTCTATTTTCTAATTCCCTCCTTTCCTTCCCCCCAGCACACACAACACAACAACCCGATCCCCTCATTTCTTTGAATCAACTCTACCCTTCCCCCCGAGGAGCAGATTGCACAGTGGCGCTATTCCTCTCCCCTCGTGTTATGAGTCGATTTCTAAGTCGACTCGAAAATCGACTCATCACCCGAGGAGCAGATGGCACAGTGGCGCCATCCCTCTCCCATCTTTCCCCTTCCAATAATTCCCTCTCACACGTCTTCCCCACCCGAGTCTCCACCCCCCATTCCCCTCTCTCCCCGCCCTGCACCAACCCACGGGGTGCTCATGTGGGGGACGGGTACCTGGTCCCCCACGCCATGCTTTTGAGTCGACTCAAAACCTGTTTTTGAGTCGATTTTTTAGTCTGTTTCTGAGTCTGTTTTTGAGTCGACTAAAAAACGTGCCCATGTGGGAGGACGGGTATCTGGTCCCTCACACGCCATGCTCAGAAGCCGGAGGACCAGATGGCACGCTGGCTCACCCCATGTCTCCCTCCCTCTCCCCTTCCCCTCGCACTCCACAGGGTGCTCATGTGGGAGAACGGGTATCTGGTCCCTCACACGCCATGCTCAGAAGCTGGAGGACCAGATGGCACGCTGGCTCACCCCATGTCTCCCTCCCTCTCCCCTTCCCCTCGCACTCCACAGGGTGCTCATGTGGGAGGACGGGTACCTGGTCCCTCACGCCGTGCTTAAGAAGCTGGAGGACCAGATGGCCCGGTTGCGCAATTCGGCTTCTAGTGCGGGCGGGGGCGGCAGCAGCAGCAGCCGCCAGGCAGACGCTGTACCCGTTTTAGACGAGCTCTCTTACGACTGGAAGCAGCTGCACGCCACGTATCTGAAGTTCTCGTATCAGATCTATAACTACGGCGAAGGGTACGGTTGCTTGGAAGAATTATGAGTTGGGTTGGGGGCTTGGGTTTTGATGTTAGTTCAGAGGAAGGAACTGTGCTGGAACTGGAAGAAGCTGCACTTTACGAGACATAGCTGAAGCTGTGCTGTTCTATCATATCGATAGCTATGACGAAGGGTAGGACTGCTGTGTTTGGACAGTTTGGGGTTGGGGGGGCTTTGGCTATTGGGAACAACTGAATAGGCGTTCGTTCAGAGAAATCTGTGATGGCTGGAAGCTAGCAACTGCACTGCATGAGACGTAGTTGACGCTCATCCACCAGTTCTGTAACCATGGCGACGGGTAGGGCTGCTATGTGGGGGATAAGGAGTGTTGGCATTTGTTCAGAAAGACTCTGCGACTGGAAGCAGGTCCATGCTGCGAACCTTGGTTTGCCCCATCTCTTGGTTTAGTCTGATGTAATGGCGTAGGGTAGGGTCCGATCCCAGTTGGAAAGTCAAGAGGCGTGCTTGTAGTGACCGGGTTAGGGTTCCTGACATCCCACTGTTGCTGAGCTAGCTTGGAAGAGAGTCTCGCTTCGTGTGCCCTAAGAGTGCCCTTCGTGAAAAAAGGAGTGTTTTGAGACGTCTCAAAACACTCCTTTTTTCACGTGCCTTCGTTCTTCTCGTCTCCCTCTTCCCTCATCCCCCCACTCCTCTCCCGTCGTTCCCTCTCACTCTCCTCTCCCCTCATTACCTCACGCTTTCCTCCCCTTTCCCCCAGGCTGGTGGGCGTGAGTGTGGCATTGGAGGCAGCGGAGTGGGTGTACAGCCATGCCAAGTACCACGCTGATACTCTCAACTCCGTGCAGAGCCAGGTGTGTGTGTGGGGGTGATGGTGTGTGAGAGTGTGAGGGAGTGTGCCGCATTAGAGGCAGCAGAGTGGGTGTACAGCCATGCCAAGTACCACGCTGATACTCTCAACTCCGTGCAGAGCCAGGTGTGTGTGAGTGTGTGTGAGTAAGCGAGTGATTGAGTGTGGAGTTTGTGATCGCGTGAGGGATTGAGAGTGTGTGTCATCGTGTATCTGTGTGTGTGTGGAACGAGAAGCAGACGCACTCACCTCACCTCCGTGCAGAGTTTTGAGGCACCTCAAAAGCCAAGCACCACACACACAGACGCACTCACCTCTGCCCCCCACTCTCCCTTCATCCCCGTGTTTCTCCCCCATGCAGCATCCACCTGGCTGGGCGGAGCACTTCGCGTCTGGCATCAAGGTCAGTCCGCTGATATCGCTGCCAGCTTTCAGTGCTGGCGGTTCCCTCTTGTGCTGCTCCCTTTCACATCGCCTGTATTCCTTTCCTTGCTCTCTCTCATGCCTCATACCCTCGTATCACTCACTCCCTCGCTCTATCTTTCTCTCTCGCTTCTCCTCCTCCTCCACTTGTACTGGGCACCCCACCTGCAGACCATTGCCATAATCCCAGTCCCGGGCGGGGCTGTTCAGCTTGGCTCTGTGCTCCTGGTACGTCTTCTCGTGTGGTTGTGGTGTGTTGTGCTGTGGCGTGGTGTGTCGTGGTGTGGTGTAGTTTGTTGTGTTGCAAAAGGTCAATCACACCACTTCCAGGAGTCGACTCAGGACCAAGTCGATTCCTGGTACGTCCCGCGGTGTGGTGTGTTGTGTACAGCCAATCACAGTCACTCTTACGCTTCTGTAGCCTATCCCATCCAATCCCTTCCCATCCCTTCCCTTCCCGTCCCTTTTCATACCCTCCCATCCCTTTTTCATACCTCCCAACCTTCCCCATCCCCTCCCATCCCATCCCCGCAAATCCCCTCGGAGCTCTCACATCGCAGCATGATATTCACTCAACTCAGAAAGTAAACTCTTCCCACTTCTTCCCTCCCTTCCCTGCTCTCCCCATCCCCTCCCGTCCCCTCCCCTCCTTTCCCCCTCCCCCCGCTCGTTCCCCACAACAGATTAAGGAGGACCCGAGCATTTCACAGGGCCTCAAAGAGAAATTCGAGCAGCTGCAGAAGATTCCAGGAGTCTTCCTCCCTGATTTCATCCCGGAAACTTCCACCACACCTGCAAGCATCGCCAAACCGCTCCCCATGCCACCCTCCCACCTCCCCCCGCATCCCTCCTCCCCATCCTCTCATGGCCCCTCCGCCTCCCCTTCCCATTCTATCGCCTCCTCCCCCCATCCTTCCACGCGCCATACCCCCTCCATCGCTCACCCACCTTCGTCTAGATTAAGCCAGAATTCTAGACCGGGTCCTCTTAGATTCGATCCGCCGAGATCTGACTCTCCCAAGCGGACCACGCAGCGAGCCTTGGCGCAGCTGTCTATCCTGGGCTCCCCGTCAGGTTCGGCAACCATACCTGCTATTCCGCCTTCTGCTTCCGGAGCTGCGGCTGCCGCACCCATGGCGGGCTCTCAGTTGCCGGCCAATCGCAAGCTGACACCTGGCGGGCGCTCGCATTCTCTATCAGCAGCAGATGTTTTAGCAGTACTGACACGGGGAGGAGGGGCAGGGGGGGGAGGGGAAGGGTGGGGAGGAGGGGGAGAGGGGAAGCAGAGTGAGGTGATGCAATCTAATATCGTTCGCGCTTCATCCGCAGGAGGACCTGTGCGAATGCTGCAGCAGCAGCAGCTGGAGCAGCAACAGTCAGAGCAGCATCAGCATCAGCAGCAGCAGCGGTCAGAGCAGCAGAGCCTTCGAATCCAAGCATCTCGCGGCTCCTCCCCCTCTCCCTTCAACCGCTCCCCGTACGGCTCCCCCCGCCCCCACCGCAGCAGCACCAGCCCCCTGCGCGCCACCACCACCACTAACACTCTAACCAACACAAACACCAATACCAACACCAACACCAATACCACCACTAGTGCAGCCTCCTCTCCCCGCTCCCGCATGAGCTGGGGAAGTGGGGGAGAGAGCGGAGGGGCAGCTTGCGGCAGCACGGGCGGAGCAGGCGGCACGGGGTCAGCTGGGGCAGGTGCAACTGGTGCAGGTGGTAATGCTGGTGGTGCTGGTGGTGGTGGTGGTGGTGGTGCGAGGGAGAGGCTGTGTGGGGGTGGCGGCAGTGGCAGCTTGAAACGGCCATGGGAGGAGGACAGTGGTGGTGACGCGGAGGAGATGGAATGTGCTGGGTTGAGTGCGGTGGGCAGTGCGAGAGAGGGGAGTTCAGGAGAGGGGATGGTTGGGGCTGGTGCGTCTGCTGCCGGTGATGGTAATGCTGGTGCTGGTGCCGGTGGTGCCGGTGGTGCTGGTGGTGATGCAGGGGTTTCAAGGCAAGGGTCGGGAGGGGCAGATGGGCAGGGCCAGGGTACAGCAGGAGGGGAGACTTGTGCTGGTGCTGCCAGTGGGGAGGAACGAGCACCAGCAGGAGCGACAGCCGCAACAGCAAGGAGGCAAGGCAGCTTCGGGTCAGGTGGGCTACAGGGTCTAGAAGCCGCCTTTTCTCCCTTCGACTCGACGCAAAGGCAGGGTCTTGGGGCGGCATTTGCAACGTTTTCGACGTCAGAAGAGGAGAGAAGGCGAGCAGAGGAGCAGTTTCGGAAGCTGGCGAGGCAGGCTGAGTTCAACGGCCCCTCTCTGGCCGCTGCTGTCAAGCTCTCCCGCGCTGCCATGAGCCGAGGGTCCTCAGGTGAATTCTCAGGTGCTCCTGCTGGTGCGGCTGGTGGCTCTGCTGGTGCGTCTGCCGGCGGGCTGGTTTCGCCAGGTGGGAGTGGGTCCAAAGCGGTGGACTCCTCCCCACGGGTGCCTATGGAGGTGACGAGTGCTGGGGATAGGCTGGATGCGATCCTGTCCCCTGCGTTTCTATCACCTTCGATACAGTCACCTACACTGGGTGGATTCGGGGGAGGGGGTGGGAGTGGGGGGTCGTTGGCACAGCAGGGTCCTCTGAGGAAGCGGCGTGCAACACCGGAGTTGCATAGGAGGCTCAGCCGAGAGTCGTTTCCCGACTTTGACCTTGATGCTAGATCACCTGGTGCTGCTCCTGCTGCCGCTGCTGCTGCTGGTGGTGCAGCCGCTGCTAGTATTGGTGGTGCTACTGCTGGTGCTGGTGCTGCTGGTGGTGCTGCCAGTACTGCATCTGCGTCCCCGTCTGCATTTGCACCGGGTGGCTTGGCGGATCCATCTCCGAGCCTCGTTCGCGGGCCTGTAAGCAGGCTCGGCACCACGCTCAACCGAAGCTCGTCCTTAGGTCCGGGACCGGGAGTGACGACGCGGCGGCTGGACCCTTCATCCGCTGCTGTTTCCATGTCTGGAGGTCCGGCAGCGAGTTCAGGCACGGTAGGAGCTTCAACCAGCCTCGGCAAGACAGCTAGCCTCACTAAGTCAGCTAGCTTTGGCAAGGCAGCTAGCTCGTCTGCAGCGGGAGGTTCGGAAGGTGCTTCCGAGCCTGTTCCCGCACCTTCGAAAGAGGCTATGGCGCTGGCGATCCTAGGGCAGATGATGGCCGGCGGCGATCTAACGGCTCCTGAGGTGCACATACTAGCCACTCAGATCACCAAGAGGGCTCAGAAAGAATCCCAGGCGGGTTCTTCTGGAGTAGGTAGAACTGTTGTGGGTGGGTCTGGAGCTACAGACGGGACAGGAAGGGGAGGAGGAGCAGGGGGAGTGGGAAACAGTAACGGTGGTGGCGGGAGAGGAGGAGGAGGTAGAGGGGGAGGTGGAGGAGGAGGGGGAGGTGGAGGAGGAGGTGGAAGGGGAGGAGGAGCAAGTGGGGGAAGGGCAGGAGGAGGGGCAGCAGGGGGTGGTCTGGACGGGATAATTAAGATGTTGGGGAAGCAGGCGGGGGCAGCAGCTCTAGCTGCGCGGCTTAGAATGGAGCTGGATGCAGCCGAGGCAGGGTCAGCTGGGGAAGGTTCAGCTGGGGAAGGTTCTGCTGATGAAAGAGGTGGGGGTGCGGGTGGTAGTACCGCCGTTGCTGCTGACGTTTCTGGTAGGGCTGCTGCTGCTGGTGTTGCTGCCGGTGTAGCAGCGGCAGCAGGAGGAGCAGCAACAGGAGCAGGAGGAGCAGCAGCAGCAGGAGGAGGAGGGGTAAAGCGGCCTTTGAAGGCTAGTGATCCTTCCGAAGCTGAGAAGCAGGTTCAGGCACTGCTGCAGCGGAAGCTGAATGAAATGGCAGCAGGCTCGGCGCAGGCTCGGAAAGCCCTGCTGGATCGGCTGAAGGTTGAGGTTGCCGAACGGAGGAAGGCGCTGAGTTCGAAGAGAGAGGGAGGTGAAGAGGAGGAGGAAGAAGAGGAGGATGGGGAGGATGAGGAGGAAGAGGAGGATGGTAGTGATGGTAGCGATAGTGGTGGGTCGGATGGTATAGACCGAATGATTGGTGGTGCAGGCACGGCAGCGGGGGTAGAGGGAGGAGCGGGGAGAGGTGTGGGGAGAGGAAGGGGAGGGGGTTTGGCTGGAGGTGTTGGGAATGAGGCAAGGATGGGAAGGGTAGCCGGGGCAGTGGGAGGGGTAGCCGGGGCAGTGGGAGGGGTAGCCGGGGCAGTGGGAGGGGTAGCCGGGGCAGTGGGAGGGGTAGCCGGGGCAGTGGGAGGGGTAGCCGGGGCAGTGGGAGGGGTAGCCGGGGCAGTGGGAAGGGTAGCCGGGGCAGTGGGAAGGGTAGCCGGGGCAGTGGGAGGACAAGTAGGTGCGGGTGGTGGGAGAGGAGGGGTGTGGAAGGTGGAAGATATGGTAGGGTGGAGCACAGGGCTCGATACAAGACAAAATGGAGCTCAAATAAACAGCCACCTGGGCGGCAACCATATGGGTGGCAGTCACTTTGGTGGCAGTCACATCTTGGGCGGCAATCACTTGGGCAACACGCTGTCATCTACAGTTGATGTGAAACCGGGTGTGCTGTCACCCAGTCAAGGCACAGGCCATTCTACAGCGGCTTTGCTGGCCAATCATGGGTCGACACCTGGCAGCACTTGGGACAGAAGCCTTGCTTTGACCAGCCTAACAGGACTAGGAGGGGTGGGAGGTGGAGTGGGAGGGGGAGGAGGAGGAGCAGGAGATGGAAGAGAAGTGGTAGGAGGAGGAGGGGTAGAGGGAAGGGGAGGGGAAAAGGTGCAGGTGGGAGGGGAGGATCTGCTGATGATGGAGGTGGGGGACGTTGACATGTGGGGCCCTGGGGGGGACTCTGCTCTCCCCACGCCTCGTGACGGTGTCACTAATGTTACTGCCACTGCCCAACCGAGTCTCTCCAGTGGTGCTTTTGAGGTCAGTGCAAAGACACACGACAGGCGCACTCCCATGCACACCCCCGTACTCGCACTGTTTTGAGACGTCTCAAAACACTCCTTTTTTCACGAGTCTCTCCAGTGGTGCTTTTGAGGTCAGTGCACAGACTCACGACAGGCGCGCTCCCATGCACACCCCCGTACTCACACCGGCACACCGTCCCAACCTTTCCCTACTAGCACCACACACACTTGCACGCAGAGGCATTTACACACGCCCTCACACTCACACCCACTATCTTTCTGTTCCTCTCCCTCTCCCCTTCCCTCTCAACGCCATGCAGAAACAGGAACCCTCACACACTAACGCCCACAGCACTCCCTTCCTGCCAGAAGGGGAACTGCCCCACTGGCACACCCAGCAGGAGGAGCTTTAAGTCGTCTCAAGACTCGTTCATCCCTTTGTGCCTCTCCCCCTCCCTTTCCCTCTCAACGCCATGCAGAAACAGGAACCCTCACACACTAACTCCCACAGCACTCTCTTTCTGCCAGAAGGGGAACTGCCCCCCTGGCATTCCCAGCAGGAGGAGCTGCATCAGCTGGGCCAGCAGCAGCAAGGGCAGGAGAGGGGAGTGCAGCAGCAGGGGTTGGAGGATTTCAGCATGTTTCTAGACGATCTGGATCTGGGTGTGGAGCTGCCTCCTGACCTTCACTTCGCATCCGCCTAGTTCACTTGGCATTGTCATAAGTACTATTTTCAGTCTTACTGTAAGTTATAGAGCTCTGGCCAAAAGGCATGTAGAAAAGGGTGCAGAATGATGTCTGGCGCTAGGCTGGCTTTGCAGGTGTTTATTCTTGTTTTAGGATCATATTGCTAATCACTAGTGGTAGATTGACCTGATATAGATCCATGCCACAGAAATTTGGTCATCATTCAAAGTGCTTGGGGCATCATTCAAAGTGCTTGGGGCAGGCCAGTGGGCTGGCACGGAATGAGGAGCGGACTCGGCAGGTGGTTTGTCTTGGTCTAGGGTCATAGTGCAATCGATTAATGGGAGATTGTTTTGATGTAGGTGCTTCCAAGTATGTCAGCAATATATTTTACTGATACGGTAGTACATTATCTCCTCTCCATGATCTGCTTGAGTATACCTCCCCACTGTACAGAGTATCTTCGTTACAAGTCTCAAGCGGAATCTTTGCCACCGCCGAAGCCGTCATGGTCGAATTCCACTCCCTCGAGATGCTTCACATCACCCCAGTGCAGGACGCGCCACGTGTGATCAGCAGACAGGCGGACGACATTGATCGACGCGTTGATGACCCCCATGGACGAATCATGTCCCAACGCGTGGCGGTGCAGCGCCATCATCACGGCACCATGACAAACAACAACCACGCGCTTGCCTGGAATCACGGAAGATAACAAGAGCACCGTAGGTCGGCAGAGGTCAGGCAGACACAGAATGAGGAGCAGGAGGGAAGGAGGCAGGGCAGCGAGCGAATGAGGGGGTGGAAACGAGAGGAACAGAGCACAGAAATCTAAGGGCGCGTGTCTTTTGGTGTAGAAGTTCGAAAAAAGGTCGAACTTTTGCTGGTAACCAGCTTCGCCAATTTCGTACAGAGCTATTGACGACGAACGTGTGTCCAAGCTCAAAGTTGCTGAAACAGAAGGACACTGAACTAGGGTCGACCTCGCATTCGACTATCCCCGAGCACGTTTCTCCTATCGTGTGTTCTTCTGCCCACGCACGAAAAAGCTGCGAGATTCGCGATGGTTACCAACCACTTCGCGCCAGGTTACCCGAGTTGAAAGTGCTAACGAACTTCACTGTATAGACAGGGTAACCTAGGAAACTTCGCGCGACTCGGATTTTACTGAACAAATTCGACCTTTGAAAGTCGAGCATTTCTTGTGCCATGTGCTCCACGTCAAGGTGAACACGCGACTCGACAATGAAATGACGAGATAGTCGACTACAGGTCGACCTGTGTTCAATTGCAAAAATTCGACTAAAAAACATGAACTTTGGCCTAAACTTAAAAGGACACGCGCCCTAATTGGGGTAGGCTAGGCTCGGTCGTTCACTTTCATTCCCGTGCAGTTTCAGTGCTACTGTATCTCGAAACCACGGGATGGGAAAGAGTTGCTACAATACGATGTCTAGCTTGACTCACCGCGGTGATGGCGAGCGATCTTCTCCACGGTCTTGCTCGTCCGCTCGACCAGTTGAGCCATGCTCTCCCCGCCCCCCTGAATCCGACGAAACGAAGAGACAGAGGCAGGGTTGAAACGAAATGAGCAATGAGTCGCCGCGGGATTGCGTTTCTCAGTTGTCGAAACGATGACAAACCGCGGCCCTCCTGACATATCGTTTGTTTTAGCACGTATTAACTTGTTGCGTAGCAAATAAGAGCTGGCAGGCGGGTAAAGTTCAGCGGCGCGCTTACAGGAATGGTGACAGTGGGATCAGACGACTGAAACGCCTTAAACGCCTCCGGCTGTTTGAAAGCCGCCTCGTGGGCCAGACAGCCCTGAAGGTGTCCGATGTGGCGCTCGCGCAGCCCCGCGTCCTTCACAATCCCCCGGGATCCCGCTCGGTCCGCAATGGCCTGCGCGGTGTCCGCGGCGCGTCGCAGGTCCGACGCGTAGATGGCGCAGAAGGGGAACTCCCACGTGGCGAAGCGCGCCGCGACCTGCACGCGCGTTAAAGTGTGTAAGTTCACCGCACGACTGAAACCCAACGTTCTCAATGTTCGGGAATTAGAAAATAAACAATATACAAAAAACATAAAAAAAAAAAAAGTACTGCACGTATCGTTAACAATAACGGAAAGCTGCGAAGAAAACGTACAGCTTGAGCTTGCGCGAGGCCCGCGGCGTTGAGTTCCGTGTCGAGCTGGCCCTGCAGGCGGTGGTCGTGGTTCCAAAACGTCTCGCCGTGTCGGACTAACACCACGTCCGTTGCATCCGCCGGAATCGGCGCCGTGGGGTCGTACACGTAGCCTTCCTCGTAGCTCGCCGGCTCGGTGACAACAGCAGCAGTGGCCTTATCGGAGAATGTCTTATCGATGATGGCGCGGTCGAACTGAGAGGTGAAAAGGGCCTGGCGGAGAGAATCGACGGCTGCGTGGCCATCGATGCTTCCGTGATGGAAATCCGACGGGTGGATGAAGAGGCTCCCGCTGCTGACGTCGGGCATCAGCATGGCTGTAGGGCCGGACGCGTCTCCCATGGGAGGAGCCATTTATACAGGATTGGACTGAGAGAGACGAGACGAGATTTGAGTGCGAGTGTACCTGCGATGGGGATATTTACAGCCACGGAACTTCGTGATATATATAAGAGCCTGAAGGAAGGCTGTGGTTTCACCGACTCAATAAAGAGCAGTGAAAACTGGGCACAGTCAGGCGGGTGTAGGACCAGGCAACGAGTTCTGGTGTGTGTATGGACAAGAGTGGAGGCTGTGAGAGCAGAACGGAAGTGTAAAACTGGATAAACCACGCTGCCTGATGGTCTTCTGGAAGATAAAGCCGTCTATTTATGCTGTTCACTGGTCTGCTCTCCAGCGGTAATTCCACACAGTTAAGCCTCTTAGTGCGACTCGACACTCCTTGTGCCATCCTGGAGGCTCCGAGGTTGGATGAGGTGGTTGCCTCCTTACAATTGACAGCTGGGGTGCGCGGGGTTCAGATAAAGGTTTGAATGTGGAAAAGTTCCATATAATTCCAGCTCTCGCTGTGGTCAATTGTACAGAAAGATTGTGCCGTAATGTCGAAGTTGTTGTGGGGTAAACAGATCTAATAAGTCTTTATTTTCAGCCTAATGCTCAACGGGCAGATGGAATGTGTGAACCGAAAAATCGGAAGACAATACGTGTGGAGCTTCTTGAATCTTGATGCGCCTCAATGGAAAATTGCCTTTCATTGGTCAAACGAGATAGCAGGCGCAAAGAACGTTCTTGAGGGATCATGAGAGGGCAAAACGATTTCAAGCGAATGTACGAGTGCCACGCAAGCATTGTGGAACAGAGTGTGGGCTGGCTATAGTAATGGACGAATCAAATTCAATCTAGTAGCACGTGAACTTAAAACGACCACTCCAAAATTACCACGCGGAACAGCTACTTTTCACCAATGAAGACTAAGAACACTACTGAGAGTTCTTATACGTGGCTGACTTTCTTTGTAGGAGATCAATATCAAAACCGGTAGAGAAAGCAATGTCAACACCGATATAATTATGATAAAGTACGATATTTGCTATATTAAAACACAGTATCGGTGAACGCAGCAGACGAACATCCACACGCTGACCAATCAGCGATGTCGTTTCCGTGAAGCAGTCATCACCTGGAAAACTCCGTGGACTTGGGGCAATGCCTGGCAAGGCTCTCCTGGATCTTGGGAGTTGAGAGACACAACTTGAACGCGATCTATCTTCCTCCACAAATCCATCCACATTCCCTCGTCGTCCTGTTTCCTACATTGCCGTTTCTTACATTGAGCGTAAGAATATCGACGCCTTCATCGGTCACGCTCTGTTGTTTAGCTGAGGACATTGAATCCAACCATGGCTGTACAGGTGCGTGTTGAGATCATATTCCGGAATCCGTGTCAGCCGTCGTGACTCGCCTTGGAATACACACATGCTTAGACTTGTTCAATGTCTCCTCTCTTTATCACGCTCATAAACCGGTTAATTGTCGCTAGAATATGTAGATGGTCTAGTTGATTCGCGCTCTACTAGCTATTATCGCGCTCTTCTTACGCCAGCCCTATTCCAAACCTGCAAGACCCCCTCCCACTTCTTCCTCCGATCCTCTCTCGCAACCGGGTCCCACTGTCTCCCTCGAATCCCCGTCTCCAGGTGTGTGTGGTAACCGGGGGTCGCGGTTTCGTGGGTCGCTGGCTGGTTCGCAAGCTGTTAGCGACGGGCGAATGGAGCACGGTGCGAGTGGTGGACATGGCGCCCGAGCTCCGGCTCACGGACGACGAGGCCAACGGCGAGGGCGAGGCGGGGCTCGTGAGGGATTCGGCGCGCAGCGGCCAGCTCGAGTACATCTCTGGGAATGTCTGCGATCGGACGGCCATGGTTAACGGTGAGTGCGATCGGACGGTCAGTGTGACATATGTGCGTGACTGCGTCACAAATGCGTCCGACCGGGTGGTTAATACGTTGTGGATCTTGAATGGTTTCTCGTTTCCGTCAGCTGATTCTGTGACGGAAGAAACGCAAACTGTTAAACTGAACATGCGGGGAGGGAAACGCAGATCAGTCACATGATTATGTGAGAAGGAAAACGCAATTGGTTCACGTGAACATGTGGTGAGGAGGTTGAACAGTTTTGAAAAGGAAAACAACAAGGACCTATCTCTTAGATGGTTCCTTGCGCGCGAAACTCGCAACTGCCGCACCTCTTTCAGCCTCTCGCCAGTCGCATAAATCCTCGCTGCTTCTTTCTGTAGAGCTTTGAGAAGAACTTTCGCATCCCTGCTCAGTACTGCTTCTTTATCCATAGCTTCTCCTGTGTTGCCTGTCTCGAATGGATGTTTGTATTGATGGGTGAATGAATGGGCGCGCAGCTTTCCAGGGCGCGTCTGCGGTGTTTCACATGGCGTCGCCCAACCACGCCCTCACGGACCTCACTCCCCACTACACTGTCAACGTGCTCGGTACGTACCTTGCTAATCCTGGTGACTTTTGAGTCTGATTTTTGAGTCCAAC